CCCCTCCTTAGTTAAGTTTATTCCTAGGTATCTTAATTTTTTTGGTGCAATGGTAAATGGGATTGTTTTTTAGTTTCTTTTCTTTTTTTTTTTTTGAGCTCATTATCATTGTTTAAAAAATCCATAGACTTCTGGGTGTTAATTTTGTATCCTCCTACATTGCCGAATTCATTTATTAAGTCTAGTAGTTTGTGTGTTTTTTTACGGAGTCTTTAGGGTTTTCTATGTACAATGTCATGTCATCTGCAAATAATGACAGTTTTATTTCTTCTTTTCCAATTTGGGTGCCTTTTATTTCTTCTTCTTATCTGATTGCTATGGCTAACATTTCCAATACTATGTCAAAAAGGAGTGGTGAAAATGGGCATCCCTATCCAGTTCCTTTTCTTAGGAGAAATGGTTTTAGTTTTTGCCCATTGAGTACGATGTTGGCTGTAAGTCTGTAATTTAAGGCTTTTATTATGTTGAGGTATGATCCCTCTATTCCCACTTTGCTGAGAGTTTTTATTAGTATTCCACATTATTAATAATGATGAGAACACGGTGGCTTGTTTCTTTATACTTTTCATGACTTATCAAAGTTTCTAAAAGTTTCTCAGAAATTGGCCTGGCCAACATGGCTCAGTGGTTGAGCACTGAGCATCAACCTATGAACCTGGAGCTCATGGCTCAATTCCTGATCAGGGCACATGCCCAGGTTGTGGGCTCGATCTCCAGTGTGGGGCATGCAAGAGGCAGCGGATCAATGATTCTCTCTCATCATTGATGTTTCTCTCTCTCTCTCTCCATCTCTCTTCCTCTCTGAAATCATTAAAAAATATATTTAAAAAACAAGTGATGGATTTTAAGCTTAAAAAAAGTATCAAGCCGAAACCGGTTTGGCTCAGTGTATAGAGCGTCAGCTTGCGGACTGAAGGATCCCAGGTTCGATTCCGGTCGGGGGCATGTACCTGGGTTGCGGGCACATCCTCAGTAGGGGATGTGCAGGAGGCAGCTGATCGATGTTCCTCTCTCATCGATGTTTCTAACTCTTTATCTCTCTCCCTTCCTCTCTGTAAAAAATCAATAAAATATATTTTTTAAAAAAAGTATCAAATATCAATAATTAGCAAATAATAATAGGCCCTCGTATTTTAACTTGAATTTGGTTATCAACCATTTTTTCAAATTTGAAATTACCTATCCTCAGTTCCAATCCAACCCATGTATTATAGGTACTAATTCTATATAGACATCTATTTCTAATGCTTGCATAAATGAATAGCAATTTGTAGTTTAACTACACAATTAAATATGGTTAAATTTATTTTTAAACAAAGTACCTGCATGCTGAGATTTTGAAGAGAAATACCAAATGACAGTGGGTTTTCTTGATTTGTGATCTAAAGAGGAAACACAGTACATTTTTCTCAGATTTTTAGTAGTTGAACAAAATTTACATTACAGAATACAATTTCAAACATCCAAAAACATTTAATACTTTCAAGAACAACTTTTATTTCTATATTTTTTCCTGATACATATTAAAATATTAAGCATCAATGCATTAGTGTTCTAAAATAATACATCTGCATAATGTTTTACACTTTATCAAAAAAAAGCTTACAAAAAATGATTGACCCTCATAATAGTACTATGAGAAGCTAATCATTATGTGTTTTAGAGAGAACACATGATCTCTTTGAGATCAGTTAGTTAAATCTTGCTCTACTGATTCCTAGACCAGTGCTCTTTCCAGGAAATAAATACCATATAATTTAAAGTCTCTTAAAACCATATAATAGCTAAATTCATAATCCCACCTATCACAGGTACTAAGATAGGCATTTTCCTTCATTATCTGATGTTTGAACACTTTAGGGAATTGTAACCAAGGCAGGAAGGACTGCAAATTACAACTATAGTTATAGAAAAGAAAGATTATGTCGTTTTCAGCCCTATTCCTTCACTTCCCAGAATCTAATAGATGGGCTACTACAGAGCAGGTTTCCTTAAACAGTGGAATATATATAAATATAAAAACAAGATTCATTTGTTAAAGTACTTACATCATCTTCATAACGAATATGGATGTTGGAAATTTTCACTTGAAGATTTTTTATGATCTGAGTAATTAATTTTTCTGTAAAAGTATCTTGTTTCTCCACCAGGAGTTTTTCTAGAATTGCAAATATTCCTTTTTAAACTTGAATGAAAAATATATTCTATAAATGTCCAAATATTGAGGTAATACAAATGCTACCTTGTTAAAGAAAAAAATCTATATTTGCAGATTTGCTTTTCAAAAATCTTTCATACCAAGACATTTTCAAAGGCAACTAAGTACAGTTTTCAAACTAGTTTCTTGTTCAGTAAAACTAAAGCCAACCTTGCAAAATTTATTGGCATTAAATTTTATAAACTTCTGTTAATTATACCTGAGTACATAAAGATATGGACAACAATGAAGATTATTAAGTAAGAATTATAATAGGCTTATACCAAAAAAGCTAGAGGAAGCAGCAAAGATGGAATCGCCCTTAAAATTAGAGATAACATCATAAGTTGTCTCTGGTTAGGTGTATAAAATAGTTGAATACGAGTCTCCTGATGAATACAAAGTAAGAAGATACAAGATATTACCCTCTCTCCTTTACAGCAATGATGAAGGAAGTTCATCAGGTGTTTCTTTTTCTTTTTTTTTTTTCTTTTTTTTCTTTTTTAATTTTATTATTTATTACAAGTGTTTCTTTTTCTAAAACCTATTTGCTATCTCCAGTTTCAATAGTTTTCAGGGGAACAGAAAGAATAAAAAACTGAGGTTCCTAATTTTTTAATATGCCTTTTAATAACCACTAGTTACTACCCCGATTTCCTCCACTTAAAAATGCCAATAAAAGCTATCTCTTTTCCTAAAAGTATAAATAAGTAAGAAAAAAAGAGATTAAGACTGAAATTACTTAAGTCACAAATGAAAGTGGGAACATTACTACTTATTCTATTTATTCTACAGAAATAAAAAGAATGATTATAAGATAGTACTATGAAAAATTTTTACTAACAAACTGTAATACCAGATGAAATGGACAAATTCCTAGAAAAACAAAATCTACCAAGGCAAAATCACAAAGAAATGGAAAATCTGAATAGTCAGGTAATTCAAAGAAGCTCAAATCAGTAATCAAAAATCTCTTGACAAAAGAAAGCTCTGGACCTCATGGCTTCACTTGTGAACTCTACCAAACATTTAAAAGAGAACATCAATCCACTTCAAACTCTTCCAAAAAACTGAAGAGAACGGAGTATTTCCAAACTCAATATGAGATCAGCATTAATCTGACACACAAGCAAGACAAACATACCACAAAAAACTACAGATCAATATCCCTAATGAATACTGACACAAAAATCTTCAACAATATGTTAACAAATAAAAAATAAAAGCCCATTATAAGGATTGTACACCATAATTTAATACAATTTATTCCTGCAATGGAAGGATGGCTCTATTTATGAAAATCAATCAATTTAATATACCATATCAACAAAATAAAAGAAAAAAATGATCATCTCAACTGATTAAGAAAAAACATTTGACAAACGTCAATACCCTTTCATAATAAAAACACTCAATAAACTAGCAATAAAAGGAAACCAATTTAACATAATAAAGATCACAGGTGAAAACTCACATCATACTCAATAGTGAAAGTCTGAAAGCTTTACCTCTAAGTTCAGGGAAAAGGTAAGGATGCCCACTTTTGCCACTTCCATTCAACATAGTATGGAAATTCTAATCAGAGTAATTAGTCAAGAGAAAATAAATTAAAGGCATACAAATTGGAAAGGAAAAAAATAACATTATCTCTGTTCACAGATAACATTATCTTATATAAAGAAAACCCTATATAACTCCACACACAAAAATTGTTAGAACTAATAAACTAATTCAGCAAAGTAGGAAGGTACAAAGCCAGCACAAACAACTGCATATCTATTTCCAATCAATAAACAATCTGAAAGTAAATTACAAATATAATTCCCTTTATAATAGCATCAAAAAATAAAATACTTAGGAAACAATTTAAAAGACATAAGCAAATGGAAGGACATCTCATCCATATCCATGGATTGGAAGATTTGATATTATTAACACATCAATATTGCCCAAAGGACTCTATAGATTCAAAGCAATCCATATCAAAATATCAATGACATTTTTTGCACAGAAAAAAAAATCCATAGTAAAATTCATATGGAATCTCAAATAATCAAAAAAATCTTGAAAATGAAGAACAAAGCTGAAAGAATCACACTTCCGAATTGCAAAACTTGTAACAAAAGTTACAAGTATATCCAGATAGTCATACACAAGAGAATAAAGTTGGACCTTTATCTAACAAAATATAAAAATGAACTTAAAAAAATCAAAGATTTAACTGTAAGATCTAAAACTATAAAACTCTCATAAGAAAACATAGGGAACTGGATTTGATCATAATTTCTTATATATGATAACAAAGGCACAGGCAACAGAAGAAAAGCAGACAAAATGAACTTAATAAAAACTTTAAAATTTGGGGCCTTGTAGACTATCAACAGAGTAAAGATGCTACCTACAGAAAGGAATAAAATTTGCAAATCACATATCTAATAAGGGATTAATATTCAGAATATGCAGAGAACTCTGACCACATACCCTTCCCTAAAAAAACACAATTAAAAAATGGGAAAATACTTGAATAGACATTTCTCCAAAGATATAGAAATGGCCAGTAAGCACATAAATGGATGCTCAAATACTAATTTTTAGGGAAGTGCAAATCTACACTACATGATACCATTTCATCCCCATTAAGATGTTACCATTTAAAAAAAAAAAAAAACCCAGAAAATAAGTAGATATGAATGACCACACAAGATATGAAAGAACTGCGACAGAGAAGAAAAAATAATTACAAAAAGTGTTGCCAGGAATTGCATTAAATCTCCTTTATATTTTTTACCTGTTTGTCAACAGGTAAAAAGTTAATATTGGGTTATACTTTTTATTCTAAAAAATTAATGAGAAGATAAGAAGATATCAATGACATGATAGAGAAGATAAACACATGACTAGGTTAGGAAAATGACTTTATTTTAGAAGCTAAGAAAGGCTACAGTATATCTCCATGTTAAGAAGAAAGATTCACTAGAGGGAGGAGTTAGAGTCTGAGTAAAAATAGCTGATGATGCTGCATACAGCACAAGTAGAAAGGAATTAGATTTCTGCAGGACATCTCTTCTGCCAACTAAAGAAGGAGTTGAAGTAATGAACCATTTGGTCTAGATTGAATTGGAAAGGATGTGAAGCCAGAAGATAAACAGATTTGGGAAAGTATCCTATATAATAAAAGGGTAATATGCAAATTGACCCTGATGGCAGAGCAACCACTGGACAAGACACTATGAGGTGTACTGACCATCTCTTGGTCCTTTTCCCCAGCCAGCAGGCTCCAATCACCTGATGGCCACCCATGGCTGGGGTGGGGCCAGCAAGTGGATGGGAACAGCCGACCTCTTGGTTCCTTCCCCCCATGGATCACCCAATAGTGAACTGGAAACCGGGAGCGGGTGGCAGAGGCGGGTGGGGCTGGCTGTGGGTAGCTGGGGAAGATGGCCCTGATTGCAGGCCAGGCCTAGGGACCGTACCTGTGCACAAATTTCATGCACCAGGCCTCTAGTAAATATATAAAGGGACTCAGCATATCCAAAATAAGGATATAAGGAGATATAAGGAGAATAAAAAGGAAAAGGCTAGAAAGGTAAGAAAACACACTTGATCCAATTAAATATTGTAGTTAAAAACTAACCTTTCCCTTATAAGCTAGGTATATTATTTTCCCTAAGATAAATGTCTAATAGATAAAAATTTTTCTAAACATGATAGAACACATTAAATGCATTAAAATGCCCCATATAATAAGATTCTCTCATATTTCTTAAGTAACCTCAGTACTTCCAAAGAAAAATAATATTCAAATGTGATGAATATTTTGGTCTTTTCTCCATTTCTTATTTCAATTATTCTTTATTTTAATTACCTTGATTAGCTACTTTTTGTTTGGCTTCTTCTATTCTTTTTAGTTCCTGCTGCTTTGCTTCCAAAAGTTGCTTTTCTTCTTTTAAAGAATCATATTTTATTACTAAAGGAAGCATAAAAAGGGAGAATCTTAATTACCTTAAATTTAAATGTACTCATTCCAAAAAACATACAAGAAAATAATCACTAATTCCAGGCATACAAAAACTTAGTGTGGAAACCAATTTAATTCAATTACCTAGCACCAAATACATATATTTTTAGAAATCACAAAAAAATCTCCCAAAATATTTTGAATACAATAATAAAATATAAAGATTTTCCATCTACAAAAAAGAGTAATTTAAATTATAATGTTTAAAATTTGACTTACTAGAAGAAGGCACTATGAGTAAATAAATGTTTTCCAGTACAGCTACAACTGGTTGAGTATAAAGGTTTTTCCATGGAATTTTAAGATTAAGGTTACCTACATTAAAAAAAAAAAAACACAAAAAAATATTCATTTAAACTACATTTACTGTCAGCCTATTTTCTGTCAGACATTAGAAAAGATTACAAGCTCAGTCACTTTATAGAAAGCTACTTTACAACCAAAAATAAGGTTTTGTGGTGAAAATTTGAAATTATTTGTATTAATCAATATTTTTGTAAAATCTACTAAATGATATCCTAAATATTTATGGCTATCTGTACCACAAACATACTAATATTCTTCATCCATTAACCAACAATCCTTTTTATTATAACTTAGAATATCCCCATTCTTCCTCTAAATCTCTGTAAGAAGTACTTTCCTTATACTTTAAAAAAGATTATCTACTTTATATGTTTATTTTTCACATTTAAAGATTACACACACAGTTTAACAATGGGAATACGTCCTGAGAAATTCATCGTTAAGTGATTTTTGACATTGTGTTAACTGAGTGCCCTTACACAAACTTCAGTGGTCTAGCCTGCTACGTAGCCAGGCTATATAGTATAGCCTACTGCTCCTAGGCTACAAACCTGTACAAAAGGTTACCATACACAACAACACAAAATTCAATCAAGCACAAGAGAAAATGATGCAATCAGGAGCCTGAGTAATATGAGACATATGAGGCTGCTGATATATGAGCATGAGACATAAGAGGCTGCTGTCAAAGTAACAGAGCATGCTGATTTACAGCAATTTTTTTTTAAGTAGGAAAGGTGTACTCTAAAATAACAATAAAAACATAAAGTATAGCCCTGGCCAGGTGGCTCAGGTGGTTTGAGCATCATCCCATACACCAAAAGACTATGGGTTCGATTTCTGGTCAGGGTGTGTAGTAGAGGCAACTGATTGATGTTTCTCTCTCATACTGATGTTTCTTTCTCTCTTTTTCTCTCTCCCCACTCCTCTCTTCGTAAAATCAATAAAAAAGATATCCTCTCTCTAAAAAAAAAAAAAAAAAAAAAAATCAATAAAAATATTTTTTAAAACCACACCAAAAAATATACTCTCAGGTGAGAAAAATAATTTTAAGTATAAAGTATACTATAGTAAGTACATAAAATAGTAACAATCCATTTACTGTCTTTATGAAGTTTTATGTACCATACATAGGTGTATGTCTTATACTTTTATACCGGCAGTGCAATAGATGTGTTTACACCTGCACCACCACAGTCACATGAGTAATGCCGTGAGTTACAACAGCTATGCCATTACTAGACAGTGGGAATTTTTCAGCTCCGTATAATCTTATAGTACCACATTGTATAAGTGGTCCGTTGTTGACCAAAATGTCATTATGCAGTGCAGGAATGTATGTACAATAATATACATTGTATGATTATCACCATAAGAATACTGCATACAAATATCTCTGGTATTATGGGAAATATTTGAAAATAATTCAAACTAATGAAAATAATTTACAATCCAATAGCAAAATATGTTACAATTCAAATTAAAAATATATATATTATGTGAGGGTTTGCTTATACTATAGATTCTAGTTTCGTGTATTTAGAAATTTTCCATAATAAAGATTTTTAAGTATTTTTAAATTCCTTAGAAAGTATGAGTCTCTAGATTTAGGAATAGTTGTCATAATTAGGAAAGGGGAAGACTATTAAATACACTATTATCACATTAACTGATTAGTAATTTAGGAAGGGGAAAAAAATCTACTTAGAGCTATCTCTTTTCATAACCAATGTTATAAAAACCCTGACCAGTGATGCTCAGTTGGTTGGAGCATCAACCCATATACCAAAAAAAAGGTGGTGGGTTCAATCCCCAGTCAGAGCTCTCTCACATCAATGTCTCTCTTTCTCTCTCTCTCCCTCCATTTCTCTCCCTTACTCAATCTAAAAAGCAATAAACATATCCGCAGGTCAGGATTTTTTTAAAAAAATTTTGTACAAAAATGTAATGAGTCGCAACACATTTGACAGGTTTTTTTTACAACTATATCAAGCAGATTTACAGCAAATTTTTTTTACACATATACTCACATACATTTTTGTTTACACATATACTCACATACATTAATAATAATTTAAAAAAAAAAAGGCCCGGCCTATGTTGCTCAGTTAAGTGTCCACCCATGAACCAGGAGATGGTGGTTCAATTCCGGGTCAGGGCACATGCCTTAGTTGGGCTCGACCCCCAGTAGGGGGCGTGCAAGAGGCAGGCAATTGATGATTCCCTCTCATCGTTTTTATCTCTCGCTCTCCCTTCCTCCCTCTGAAATCAATAAAAGCATATTTTTAAAAATTAATCTAAAAAAGTTAATAAACTTAAGGACAGAGAACAGTGACAAAATAGCAGTTATCAAAGAAAAACATAAAATTAACAATATAGCATTTTTACCACTAAACCTTTTAAGCAAATTTTTTTCTTCTCATTATAAGGTACAGACTACTTACAGGAAATCTGAAAACTTCATAAAAATATAAATGAAAGTAATTCCAAAAATCTCCTACATTAAGAACTACTTTCAAAACATGTACATATGAATAATTATATTTGATATATATGGAATTCTGTACTCCAAATGAGGAAAACTTTTAAAGATCATAAGATTAACAATCCTATCTAATAAAAGAGTAATATGCAAATTGACCATCACTCCAATACACAAGATGGCCTCCCCGATGTGGTCAAAAATGGCCACCACAAGATGGCCTGCATGGGAGGGCAATTGGGGGGAACCAGAACTACAGGAGAGGGCAGTTGGCAGTGACCTGGACTGCAGGGGAGAGCAGTTAGGGGTAACCAAGCTGGCAGGACAGGGCAACTGGGGGCTACCAGGCCGGCAGGGGAGAGCAGTTAGGGGTGACCAGGCTGGCAAGGGAGGGTAGTTAGGGGCAATCGGGCCAGAAGGGGAGCAGTTAGGCGTCAATCAGGCTGGCAGACAGAAGCAGTTAGGGGCAATCAGTCAGGCAGGCAGGCAGGCGAGTGGTTGGGAGCTAGCAGTCCTGGATTGAGAGGGATGTCCAGCTGCCCGTGGATCGGGCCTAAACAGGCAATCAGACATCCCTTGAGGGGTCCCAGATTGGAGAAGGTGCAGGCTGGGCTGAGGGACACACACACACCCCGTGCATGAATTTCATACACCAGGCCTCTAGTCCTATATAATAAAGGGCTAATATGCAAATTGACCAAACAACGGAACGACTAGTCACTATGATGCACACTGACCACCTGGGGGCAGACACTCAACGCAGGAGCTTCCCTCTGGTGGTCAGTGTGCTCCCACAGGTGGAGCTCTGCTCAGCCAGAATACGGGCTCACAGCTGGTGAGCACAGTGGAGGTGGCAGGAGCCTCTCCCACCTCCACAGCAGTGCTAAGGATGTCCAAATGCCAGCTTAGGCCAGCTCCCCCTGGGCCTAAACCATGAGTCAAACATCCCCCAAGGGCTCCCAGACTGTGAGGGGGCACAGGCTGGACTGAGGGACCCCCCTGAGTGTACAAACTTCATGCACTGGGCCTCTACTATCCAATAATAGCAAGGGAACAATATGTTCCTATAAAACTGGTTGTGTTGCTGTACCACTCACTTGGAAGCATTACTTGTTTCATTCAAGAAATAATGTGCCTAACAAATGCTAGGTATTTTGCTAAGTGGTATGAATACAATAAAAATTAATTCCACTTCTCAAGAAACTATTGTCTAGCAGAAGAAAACAATAATGATATTAAAGAAAGACAGGTGCTGTGTTAGGGGTATGCAAACAACACCTTAAATGAGTCTCAAAATTATCTTATGTATTTGGTACTTAATGCAGTATACATGCCACTATCTTTTTTTTTTTCCTTTAGCTTTTTCCAGGGAACAGTGCACCTAAGTTTCAAAACACACAAAATAGTTCTCCATTAATAAACAGTTTTCCACTATCTTATATTAACACTGAAAATTACCTTTTATCATTGTTAAATATGGTGAGGCATATGTTCACTGCAATATTTTTGTACCTTTGTAAATACAGGATCACTACAATTTCCAAATATGTATTCATTGGATTATAACACTACCATAAAAAATAAATGAGGTCAAATCAACATGGATTATGAGAAATCTTTACTGTTAACTAAAAAGAATATGAAATCGTACATATTCCATGATTACAAGTAACTAAAAGGTACACATGTAAAAAATCATATAGAAATATGCAAAAATAAACATGTTAGGTGGAAAACAATGGGTTACATGTTTTCCCTTCTTATACTAAAACATCTTTAAATTAAGGGAGAAGAGAGAACCTTTGAGTCTCAGCAACATTAAGATAATGAAAATTTTCTTAGGCAAATGGTCTAAGTGCACAAAATAATGAAGACATTAATCATGTAATTTAGATGAGCTTTCAAAATACCTTGTTCCCCCACTGACTCCAATATGTAGCAATAACATTCTATAAATCCTACTACACAAATCTTAATTAATGACACTACCATCTTGCATAAAATTTAAAGCAATAAAATTCGAACAGTAATTTAATCAATAAAGTTAAAACAATAAGCCAACATAATTTAAGAAACCAAACACGTTTTTATTAAGCATTTTAAAATATCATATTCTAATTAGCTTTTGCCCAAGCAATAAACATAAAATGTTTGATTTGACTTGGGGTGGTGAACACACAGTACAGTGTACAGATGATGTGTTATAAAATTGTGCAACGGAAACCTTTGTAATTTTGTTAATTAGTGTCACCCCCAATAAATTCAATTTTAAAAAAGGGGAAAAATGTAAAGAATGAACACCAGTAAAATAATACAGGTCAAGAACTAGCTCAATATTCAGGGCAACCTAGAAAACTTCCAGAGTAGAAACTCAATTTCTGATAGGTCCCCAGTCACACTCTCTGGCTGACCTAGACCCTACTCCTTACACCACATATCCATGGCCAAACAGAATATAGCAAATATAACTAGTCAGAAACCTAAAAAACTGAGGGGTTATATGCTTTCTAGTAACACCTTAACTCTCAACTCATTTTTAACATCTAATAAGGCATATAATTTCATACATATTAGACAAAATATAGATGGACCGTACAATATTTTTATCGTGATTAAGCTCCATCTAGATAAAAACACATGATTACTTACAATTAATGCTCAAAAACATTAAAAATATCACATAATAAGGATACCAAGCATATTATTCTGGTTGCATGTCCAGCAAGGGGAACGTTCAAACAAACACAGCTTACCTATATAACCAACTTTAATTTTAAATGGTACATCCAGTTGACTCTACAAAAAATACACAGATGTAAAATATTAATACACAACAGGTGACTACTTTTTTCTTCCTAGAATTATTTAAAGGGTTTAAAGTTAACTTACACCTTCCCTTTATCTTCAATGCTTATTTAAATTTATAGACATGTGTATGTCAATATTTATAACAGCATTGTTCATAAAAGCCAAAAGACAGAAACAATCCAAGTGTCCATCAACAGATGAAAAAACAAAATGTGGCACATACATACAGAATATTACTAAGCCATAAAAAGGAAAGATGTTCTGAAACATGCTACAACATGGATAAACCTTGAAGGAATTACAATGAGTAAAACAAGCCAGACAGAAAAATGACAAAATAGCTTAATTCCATTTATATGAGATAACTGAAATAGGCAAATTAATAGAAAATACATTAGAGGTTACCAGGGTCTACAGGGAAGTCTAGGAAGTTGTATCTTTTATGGTTACAGAGTTCCCTTTGGCATAATGACAAACTTCTAGAAACACATACTGGTCATGGTTGCACAGCACTGTAAATGTAATTAATGCCACTCAATTCTATAGTAAAAAATGATTAAAATGGTATAAAATACTGAAGATGACTGGGAAAATGAAAACATACAGAAATTAATAACATTATATATCAACTATACTTTAAGAAATAAATGTTTTTAAAAATAACATCATATAAAAAGAAACAGGAGTATTTTTATATGGAGAAAATTACACACTCAGTCTGTGCTTTTAAGGAGAGTAAGAATTCATTTTGCAAAATTCACATTTTACAAAATTTATTTTCAAAAAATTTTCTCAAAATTAAATGATTTAAAGTGACAAAGTAAATCAGGAAAAAGTCTATAAATGCACTAACAAATTTCTTACAGTCAAAACCTACCAGGGCATTTTCTTTAATTTCAAGGTTCTTCAAGACCACAGCTCCTAAAAAAAAAAGTTATTAAAAATAAAGTTGAAATATTCAAATATTTTTTCATTTTAAAAGTTAGATATACTTCATCCCTAATATGTCATATTAAGAAAAAATAATTACAAATAATATACATAAAACAGAATTCAACTATAATTGTATTAGCTCACCTTCATTCTTCAACTAGTCTAAGACTGTATGCTTTACCAAAATGTCATTTGTTGTAAATTATGACTTCCGAAGTTGTAGTTCCATGTTTTTACATTTGAATCAGAATTATACAAATAATTAAAAATCTAGCAAGGTAACATGATATACAGAAAAATACACAAAAAATGAATTGTATTTAAATACACTCCCAATGAACTGGAAAGAAGTTTTTAAATCCAAAATCATCAAGATACAGAAACAAACTTCCCAAACTGAAATGCAGAGAGAAAAATAAAAGAAAAAGTAATTAAACAGAATATCCAAGAATTGTAAAACAATTGTAATAGTTGTAACATATGCATAATAGGAATACCAGAAGAAAAAAAAATGAAGTACTAATGAATGATAAATTCCCAAAGTAAATAAATGATAAAGACACCAAACCATATCCAGGAAGCTCAAAGAACACAAAGCAAAAAAAAAAAAATACCCCCAAAATATCTACACTTAGGCATATCATAATCAAACTGAAGGAAACCAAATACTAAGAAAAATGTTGAATATGAACCAGAAATCCTACTCCTGGGTATACACCCAAAAGAAAGAAGAACATGATATCACAAAGATACCTGCACTCCCATGTTTATTGCAACATTATTCACAACAGCCAAATGTGTTATCAACCTAAGTGTGTACATCAACAGATGAATGAAGATGTGATACACACACACAGAGAACGAGAGAGAGAGAAAGAGAAATATTCAGTCACAATCAAAAAGGAAATCCTGCCATTTTCTACAACATGGATGGACTTTGGAGGGCATTATGTTTAGTAAGATAAGCCAGACATAGAAAGACAAATATTGTATGTGGAATATAAAAAAGTAGACTCAGAAACAGAGAGTAGAATGTTTGTTACTAGGGGGCTGGGATGTGGGGGAACTGGAGAGATGTTAAAGTGTTCAAACTTGCAACTAGGAAATGAGTAAGTTCTGGAAATCTATGTACATCATAGTGATTACAGTCAACAATATTTTATTATATACTTCAAAATTGCTAAGACACTACATTTTAAATGTTCTTACCACACACACACACACACACACACACACACACACACACACGATAATTATGTGGCAGGGTAAAGGCATTAGCAAAAGCTACATACTGCAATACAGGGTGGGGCAAATATAGGTTTACAGTTATGAATACACAAAATTACCCAGTCACAACTGTAGACCTACTTTTGCCCCATCCTGTACATAAACATATCAAATCAACATGTTGCACACCTTAAATTTATACCATGTAATATGTAAGCTAGATCAACAACAACAAAAAATCTCCAATAAAAGCAGAGAAACACACACACACATCCCAGTAGAGGTACAAGGAATAACTGAATTGAAAAATTCACTAAAGAAAGTCAAAAGCTGACTCAAATTGAAAAGAATGAATTGGCAAACTTGAAAACAAGTTATTTGGAAATACAGAAGAGCAAAAATTTTTAAAAAGGAAAAGTGAACAGAGCCTAAAGGACTCAGGGAAAATTATCAAAAGTATGTATTAAGGAAGTCCAAAAGGAGGAAAAATAAAGAAAGGGGAAGAGATCTTATTTGAAGAAATAATGGCCCAAACTCCGAAATTTAAGGAAAGACATGAATATCTGAATTCAAGAATATCAATCAAGGAACATGATAATCAAAGGCAAAGAAAGATTAGAGGCAGCAAAAAAAAAGTGACTGACATATATACAGATTCCTTAATAAGATTACCAGTAGATTTCTCTGCAGAAACCTTGCAAGCCAAAACACAGGGATGATATATTTATAGTGCAGATGTCCACTGAGAACATTATATCCAGAAAAACATCCTACTTCAAAAAATGAATATAAAATTAAGTATTCAGATTTAAAAAAAATTCTGAGGAAGTTCATTACCAGTAGATCTGCTTTACAATAAATTTTAAAGGGAGTCCAAGTTGAAAAAGTGTTAGGTAGCAACTTAAAACCATATGAAAAAATATAAAGTTCTACAGTAAAGGTAAATACATGGACAAGTATTAAAAAAGTAGTATTATAACAACATAGACTGATGAACAGGGACAGATCCAAAGACAGAGAAACAGCAATCAGACTGTTTATGATTACTTTCCCCTATTAATCCCCAGAGGGAAAGTAGGGGAGGGTGGGGGTAAGGGGAAGAGATCAACCAAAGGACTTGTATGCATGCATATAAGCCAAACCAATGGACACGGACAACAGGGGGATGAGAACATAAGTTGGGGGAGGGGGGGAGTATATGGGTTAAGGGGGGGAATGAGGGCACATTTGTAATCCCTTAACTAAAAGAATTTAAAGATTAAAAAATAAAAATAATTAAAAAATAAAAAAGTAGTATTATAATTTTACTTTATAACTCCACTGTTCTTTTACAGAAATTAAAAGACAAGAAATATAAAATATAAGTCTATGTCAATCCTATATAATAAAATTGACCCTAATAGCAGAACAACCAGGAATGGCTGGGAACGACAAGTCATTATGACACACATTGACCACCAGGGGTCAGATGCTCAAGGCAGGAGCTGCCCCCAGGTGGTCAGTGCACTCCCACAGGGGCAGCTCCGCTCAGCCATAAGCCGGGCTGATGGCTGCGAGCACAGCAGTGGTGGCAGAAGCCCATCCTGCCTCCTCGGAAGCACTAAGGATGTCTGACTGCAAGCTTAGGCCAAATCCCCCGGGTAGCGGGTGAACAGGTGAACATCCCACAAGGGTTTCCGGGCTGCAAAACGGATGTCTGACCACCAGCTTAGGCACGATCCCCCAGGGAGCGGGCCTAAGTCAGCAGGTGGACATTCCCCTATGGGTCCCGGACTGCAAGAGGGTGCAGGCTGGACTGAGCGACTTATTCGTGCACCGGGCCTCCAATAGGTACATGATATATAATATGTCATTTGTTACATAAATAACAAAGATGGGGAGGCAAACTGTAAAGGACTAAAGTTACTGATAAGTTGGTATCAGTTTAAAATATCTACACTAATAAAAGACAAAGACGCTAATTGACCATACCTTCACTACGCCCATCAGACGATCAGAAGAGTATGCAAATTAACCCAACAAAGATGGCCGTTAAATTTGCATACAGGCCCTGACCGGTTTGGCTCAGTGGATAGAGTGTCGGCCTGCGGACTGAGGGGTCCCAGGTTCGATTCCAGCCAAGGGGATGTACCTTGGTTGCGGGCACATCCCCAGTAGGGGGTGTGCAGGAGGCAGCTGATCGATGTTTCTCATCGAT